TTCATATCCCTTTGCTGGCACTGTTAGTCTAGGAATATCTGCTATGTGCAATTCCTCTTTTCCTCACTTTTGTATGTGCAGCTGTGTGGCCATGATGGTAGATAAAATCCCTCTAGTGTAGGACATGCGTTGTAAGTGTATCCAGCACAATTCAGTATATGGACACTATATAGAGCATATCAGGTTTTTCAGGGCGTCTCAACCCAGACTATCGATTGTGTCCTTACAAAGAAAGTGTAAAAAAAAAAATATTAATGGGGTTTTCAATTTAAAGTTAGGGAGTAGCAAAATATCAGGAACTTGGAAATATAGATGCAGATGCTTACAAATAAAATTGTTACCTTATTTTGGGGGTATAACTGAAGTCATGTAAGCAAAACTATAGAAATGCTGTTGTAAATTTAATAATAACAATAACACTATTTTAGTGTCTACTTCTCCTGTGACATACTTGCTTTTTAAGCATACAGTATTCTAAATTTCATCTGATTCTTTTACATTAAATATATATTTTGGATTGCATAATCTTTGAATAATGGTATAAATTCAAGGAAGCTGGAAGACTATTAAACAAGTGCCTGGTTTTATTTACAGGAGTAGCTACATGAGCAATACACTATGCTTAACATATAATAGCAGCCACAGCACCTGTCCTGGTTTTGGCTGGGATAAGGTTAATTGTCTTCCTAGCAGCTGGTATAGTGCTATGTTTTGGGTTCAGTATGAGAAGAATGTTGACAACACACTGATGTTTTCAGTTGTTGCTAAGTAGTGTTTATACCAAGTCAAGGATTTTTCAGCTTCTCATGCCCAGCCAGGAAGAAGGCTGGAGGGGCACAAGAAGTTGGCACAGGACACAGCCAGGACAGCTGACCCAAACTGGCCAAAGGGGTATTCCATACCATGGGACGTCATGCCCAGTATATAAACTGGGGGGAGTTGGCCCGGGGGGATTGCTGCTCAGGAGCTAACTGGGCATTGGTTAGTGAGTGGCAAGCAGTTGTATTGTGCATCACTTGTTTTGTATATTCCAATCCTTTTATTAGTATTGTCATTTTATTATTGTTGTTATCATCATTATTCTTTTCTTCCTTTCTGTTCTATTAAACTGTTCTGATCTCAATCCACAAGTTTTACCTTTTTCCTTCTGATTCTCTCCCCATCCCACTGGGTAGGGGGGAAAGTGAGTGAGCGGCTGCATAGTGCTTAGTTGCTGGCTGGGGGTAAACCACGACAACACCATATCTATTGTATATCGTATTTAAGTGTTCTAATGCCAGCAACTCTTGGTGAGCTTTGACTAGAAGCTAGCTGCAATTGATAATGCAGAAGGAACAAACACGGCATTTTAAAAACCTTTAACAGAGTTAGGACGACAACACTGGACAGTTAAGGCTGACACCTCCTACAACAGAGCAACCACAAGATCATAGGAACATAGATCATAGTTTTCTATTTATGTACAGTCATACAACTGTAATCACTTAGTAAACTTAGCATACATAATGTACTGGTTTTCATCTGAAGACTAAAAACTTCTTTTACAATTCATTTTTTGGCAAAGGATGTTGCCTGTAGCCTGGTATTTGGACTAAGTCTGCCAGGGTGTAATACAGCTGAACTCAGCATGCAGAAGGCTTGGTACAACTGATGATCTGTATTGTTTTGATGTTTATCCAGCTGCGTGTATGCCATTAAAATCAAGTGACGTTGTCATAAGCTTAAGGCCCTTCTTGAATTCCCTGATTCACTTCTCAACAAAATTACAGCTGAACAATGCATTCCAGTTCAGCAGGAGTGAAGTTCAGTTACATGTGGGCTCATTGGTATTGGTAATTGAAAATAACTGACCAATTATCAACACCCCTATGAAAGAGCTAGAAGTGTCATTGTTACTGAGCACAGCCAGTAATGCTTGGTTTTCAGATACAGTTGAAAACATGCATACCACAGGCTAAGAAGGGCCTTCACCCATTTGTCTCTTGGATTTGCACATGCTTTACAATCCCCCTTTGTATGGAAGGTGGAAAAAATGAGAGATGAGGTACAAAATACAGTCTTCAGTCCTTCTGATAGTTAGGACCTACCATCAACTGAATGGTAATGCAACAAATAACTTGTTAGTACTTGCCCAGCAGATGAAATGGGGCAGGTTTTATATTTTAACAACAAAATTAAATCAGCAGAAGGTTTGCTATTCCTTACAAAAATCACTGTCCTTGCAATGCTGTTATTTTGTTACTTTGTACTGCAGCGGGAGAAAAAAATATTAAGAAATAAGTAAATCTAATTATGATTCCATATATGAAGAGAAAGTTTTCTGTCAAAGATCCCAAGCTAATGAAATGCTGCAATGTCCTGACTGGGAACGGTGTGAGATTGTTTTAGGAAAAAAAAAAAAGGAATTAAAAAAAGAAGCAAAAATAAAAATGTAAAAAAACCGAACAAAACAAACAAAAAACCCACAGAAAGAATATGCACAAATAGGATTCAATAATAATACTCCAACAAGCACAGGAATCACTGAGGACTGGTCTCAATACAGCAAGAGCAGGGACTTCGGAAATGAAGTATGAAGTTGTCCTGAGACTTTGAAGGGAAAGCTCTCGCACCCATTGTCCAAATTCTATCCAAGCTGTAATAAAAAACCTTGTTGGCATTTTGCAAGAAAAAATAATTTGTTTTTTAAAAAAAATAAATAAATGGAAGGGAAAAAGTCCCCAAATGACCATCTAATACTGTATCTCTAAATTATTCAACAAAATTGCACATGCTGAATTAGGAGCTGAGGGCCAAAGATACAGAGGAAAAAGAAACTTACCTAGACAAATGCAGAACAACCCTACCAAAGCAATCAGGATTCAGGTTTTCCTATAAATGGTCATGATTTTCAGAGCTGTCAGAACTTTTAACTGGCCACTTAAGGTTACTTAGAAAAATGTGCTCTGATCTGACGATTTTGGAGATACAGCACTCGCTTATAATACCTATTTGGGTCCTCAGGAATGCATGGAGGTACATGCTATTTTTACATGGAATTTCCTACCAGGAAACAACCTTGTCAATCTATGTTATTGAGCATAGAAACCAAATTTCAATTATTTTTTTTTTTTCCTCCAGTCAGGTTGGTTGTTAAAAAATATTCAACCAGAATAAGAGGAACTAAATAAAATCCCACGAGTCATAGCTCTGGGGATGAAGCATCTGCGGTTTTGCGGCAATGGAGCCATGGCTGACAAGAGGAAGGATGAGTTACAGAAGCAATACAAAACTTTTAACATGCACAACCTGGGAGTACAAAAAGCCACCCACAGAATTTCACACATCAGTCTTCACTTTCTTATTTTCCTCCCCTGCTTTGAATTCGCTGGCTTGGACTCTAGGCTTTTGTGTGCCAAGTTCATATACAGGTCTGGTTCCTAACATCTCCACCAGTGCCTACCTATTCCCAAGGTAGGCTTGGGGAACCTCACCTTCCGACGCTTTTAACATGAACCAGTCATTGTGTCCATACCATTTTGTTGGTGCCTGATTTAGCCTGTGAACTCTTTGAGTCAAAACAGGAGCCCACACTAGTGCTAGCAGGTATGAGGCAGAGCTCTGCAGTTTTGCCCAGAAGTTAGGGAAATCCCAGGGAACATGCTGGGTAATTACTCCTCACTGGGAGGCTGATAGCTCTTTACATAACACCCTTAATATCAGGGACATGGAATCCACCTGCTGGAAACTAAAGCCAATTATTCTTGCTCCTTCAGAGCTTCAACCACAGAGAATTGCCAGTTCCCAGATTTGCAGACCCACAAGCAGATTGCTTAAGTTCTAGCAAGTTTTGAAACCAGAAGATGACAGCCTTACACTCATGAACACAATTTAAAAAAACCAATACTTCTCAGCTCCTCTCTCAAGGACACCAAAAACGCTTTACATTTAAGTTTAAATTAAATTAAAATCAGTGCTTCTATCTCAATGACTAAAAGGTACCAAAAGCCAAGGTATAGATTTAGCTGCAAGACTCTGGTGCTGACAGTGAGAGGACTACACCTACACAGCCTACTTGGTGACATCCCTGAAGCCTGTGGGGGCCATTTAATAGTATCTAAAAAGCCGAGCAGCCTTCCCCATTCAACCTGCAGCCATGTCCTACATCCTCCATGAAGTCCCGTTATTTTTATCAGGCATCATTTGTACTGCAGTAGTGTCTGCAGACCTCCAACAAGAGATCCTGCATCAGGAAAACCTCATTATGCTAGAAGTCATAGGATACTATAGGAAACGCATAAAGGGGAGGAAAGCACTGCAAATATCTCCTCTAGAGATAGCCCTTTAAGTTGAGAGCAGTGTTATCATAATCGTTCTCAGTGGATGAGCTGGAAGCTTGCCCTGTAACAATATGTGTAAGGTTTCTCCTGGATAAATAGAGAAACTGGTAAGAGAAATTCTCTCAAATCTGATTATAAGATGAAATTGAGCTAAGAACAGGTCTTCCTGTTAAGCAAAATCTTCATATATAGCAGCTGGCTGGGCAAAAGGAAGGAATTATATCCTGTGGAGGTCATAGCTACCCATAGAGCAAACAAAGTGAGCAAGGTGGAAAGTGGCTTTAACAGGTGTGAATAATTGTTTCACCTGGAGGCTCATAAGCAAAGGAATTCATTTCAAGGGGAAGTCACCTTTTTCAATTAAAAAAAATAAACATATCACACAGAATGCAGATTTTAACATTTATTTTTTTAAAACTCCAATTTTGATTTTTTCCACAAGCAGGCTTTGTTTAACAATACTTCAAGAAGTATTATAATGCTAACTATGGTTAAAAGGAAACATTTTGGCACAAGAGACTGCCAAAGAAGTAACAGAATAAACAGAATAAATAACCCACTTTACACAGGCTGAACAAAACAAAAATAACATGCAATAAACTTAGTAAAATTCATACTCTGTACAACAGCTTAAGGTAGTCTTCTCTAAATAGTACTCACGTCATATTAGTAACATACACATATTAGTAAAAATAGAAACTTTAACTAAATGCTTAATTCAAGCAAAACAGCGATGCAATATGAATCAACTCAAGAAGTTCAACGGTTCCAAAGAAGCCAGAGATAGTGGTGAGTAAGCACACAACAGTGTACAAGACAACAATCTCAACCGAGAGGTTCAACCTAGTGGTTCTTCAGCCACGTCTGCGTGTAGTTCCCTGCTGGAAACCATATTACATTGACATCTTCTTGAGCTTATCGCTGTTAAAAGAATGAGACAACACACATAAATAATGACCTCAGCCACAGTTCCATCACAGATTTCTCTCTCTAACACCTCCTGAGAGAATAACTCAGGTAGAAAAAGGGACATGTGACATGACTGTCCCTGAGAAGACTCTGAAAAGGAGTAGCCATGTCTGACACAAGATGAAAAGACAAAGGTGTTCAACATTGCCATCAGAAGTGGCATTCAGGAGATGTAAGAAACAGGCCTTCTTACATGCTCTGTTTTCATCAGCCTAGTAGTATTTAGATTTTTAGATTCCTACCTCAGGAAAAGAAGATGCTTCTTCACCCAGCCTTCCTTAGGATTTACACAGGCATTCAGCCCACTGTAGGTGTGGAAACTGGAAAAGAAATAATCATAAAGAGATCAGTAAATCATTAGAAATCCCTGCTAGTAAATACTGCGAAGATGCATTTGGTCAAAAACATGCATCATGGTTACTCTATATAATAAACAATAGCAACTGCTTTTGTAAATGCCAGTTAGATATGGGATGCTCCACAACACCTCCGATACTACATGAACAAAAAGAAACACCTAATGAAATTTAAATGTAACAGCTGCTTCAATCTCAAGAATTATTTTTTGCGCCATAAAGTTGTGTTCAATTTATTGGAACTATTGAGACAAAGAACTTTGCTGGCGCCAGAAATAATTTGTGAGACCAAGGACAATAGTTGCTGTCAAGCTACAGTGACAGATCAACATTTAGGAGGGCTAAAACCTTGTGGAAAAAAAAAATCCAATCTGCAAATTAAGAAAGCTCTTGTTGCTTATGTGTCTGTTAACAGGTTTTGGCAAGCGAACACCCTGTGTTGGCTAGAGTGGCCCTCAGCTGGAGAAGAAGCATGTCTTTGTTTGCACAGTTGATTCCTAGACAGATTTATTATTTACATTGTATGGCTGTCCTATGAGTTAGTAGTCCCTATCAGCTAGAGGTTGTGTATTTTGTTTACAGGTATTATTTATAATTTTTTCAGTGAATTTAACATTTTGAAAAAGCAAGAAAAATCATGCTTATAATGTTCAAATCATTGTTTCTGCCCAGACATCCTAAAGTTAATACATGTCAGAAAAAAACAGGATCTTTTGAAAAGTAGCTTACATGATTGCATGGATATCACAGACTTCACTGGAGAGTTGTTCAGTATAACCCTTCAGGGCCCACCGAGGCAGACGCACTTTGGTGTAAGACAGGCAGCAATCCTGGTTGCTTTGTGCTGGAATGAAGGAAGATGACAAAGTAAATAAAACCTGTTTAGACCATGCTGCCATGCTGCCTAGGGTACTTGCTGTTCAGCCCCCTGACTATCCAGCTCCCCATCGACAGAAAAGGATTAGGCAGCATACTTCGCTGAAAAAATTCCCTTCCATCTCACCCTCATCCTGCTGCCAGCTGTGAGCATGCACACCCCGGCATGGCTGGCACGCTGCAGAGCAGCACTGAGAACTGCTTCCTGGGACTGAATGCCCAAGCTCACTCACCTTCAGAGGTGCCGCACAGGAGCAGCGCCAGGAGCCCCAACAGGGAAACCAGGACCAAGATCTTGCTGCTAAAGCCAGCCATTTCCACTCCACACAGCAGCTGTGCTCAGCTTCTGCTTGCTTGTCCTGCCAGCCTTCCCGTACCTCCACCTGCTTATAAAGGGGTGGCAGGAGCCATGGGAATTCACACGCGGGCGGGTTCCACTGTCATCAGCGGGTTTCCCCACAGCAAATTCCATCGTCCCCGATTTGGCCCCAGCACACCTTCCTGGTGCTATAACCGGAGATAACAGCATACTGGGGATTTTTTTTTCTTTTTTTTTAAAGTAGGTTAGAAGATTCAGCCAAAAAGAAAAGGAAATAAAATTCTGTGAGGTAATGGTTCTGTGGGTGAAGCACGTGTATTTTTAGGGGTAGAAGTGTGGGTTGTGAAATGAGGAAAGTCAAATGTAGGTAACTCTCAGTTACCTACAGAAACTGCATATCTGCTGTGCTCTAGTTTAATAAGCCCAGCCTGGGGGAGAGGGAGGTGGGCCTAACCCAGACATTCATTTCAGTATGGCATGCTCACAGGAGCTGGGTAACTACCTGCCATGATACCAAAGCACTACATTATTTACTGGCTGGCCAACACAGTAACATCAGGCTTTCCAGATTACTGCTTTCTGAGCTCTAGATGTAGCATTGGTGGGGCCATGTGGGCAACATTGAGTATTCATGGAAATGGGTTTCTTTTACCATATATTCACTGCCATCACTTTCTGCCAGTTTATCACACATCTGAACTATTTCATCTGAAACAGAGTTAACTTAAAAGCAAGTTGAAATAGGATTCTATTTTCTACTGTATCTGTACTGTCCAGAATGCATTAATGCTGCTTCATAAACAATAGCTGTATCTTGTTACTTTCCCATGCCAAACTGTACCTAAGTACTGTGCCTTCTGAACATTCAGCTAAAATGCCTTAAAAATGCCTCCCATGGCTTGGGAGAAACCCCTGGAGAGAGGCTCTGCCATTGCTGCAAGTACACGGAGCTGCTACTGAAGGCTGTTACTTTCCAAGGCTGCTTAGTGACCTGTGTGAAATGAATGGGATGGCTGCAGGCCAAGTCCTGGTCAGCTGGTATACACAGCTCCAGGTGGTTATAGAGTAATCTGAGCTTTAAGTAGCTTCTCTTTAAGGTAGAGCTCAGGGACACGGTCATAGTCAGTTCATAATTACATACCTTCTATTCTTCACAGACTGCCAGTACCATTCACAAGGGGTGCATTCCTATTAATTCTTCCTAGAAATATAAAAAATTTGAAGTCTAAAACAAACTGATATTCAGAGAAATTAGTTTCTCTATATAATAGCCAGAATTTAGGGAAGCTCGTATGGCTAGGATACACACGAGCAGCCTTGCAGGGTGCATGATGTCAGATATGTTAGAGATGCTTCTTCTCAGAGCCACTGCCATTGGCCAAGGGACAGGGGACAAGGCTATAAAGATCCCATGGCCTGATGTATGCTGCTTTTTGTAACTGCTTTATGGATCATGGTGAAATGCCTTTAAAATACATAAAGATCAATGCTCTCAGTATGCAGCTATTTCTGAATTGTTTTAAGGACTATCTGTCAGCATTAGGCAACGCTACAGAATACCTATCTAGAATGGTAACACCTGAAATGATGGAAGTTTCGCTTGATAGCTTTTTCCTTTCTGTAGATAGTAGTTAAACATGAATCACTCATATCAGGTATCAAGAAGCATCAGGTTGGCAATAAGCAATTCTCTATCTTCCCCATCAGTACCACTTTTTTTTTTTTTTTTAAACTGGCTGTCCAGTAACAACCTGGGATTTTTAATTTACTTATTATTTTTTAAGCAGTTCACACCATCCAGTCTCTATCAAGCAACTGCCTTTAAGAAGATACAAAAATTATGCATTGGGTTATCAACCTGCATTCCTCCACTTCCACCCTCCCATTTCACTCTAGTGTTGATACTAGGAAAGTCTCCAGCTACTTTAGAAAGAGAACTTTCTAAGATTGTCAAGATAGTAACCGTATCTTCTTATCCATGGATTAGTATCAAGAGCATCAAAAGCAGTAGGCAAAGAATAATTTTAAAAATTGCTAACAGAGCCTTCCAAAAAAAGAGATCAGTTTGTCCCCTGTCTTGCTAATGTACTTGTTACTTCTTAAGTTCACCACTCCCCATTAGTTTGGAGACTTGAGACATAAATGATTAGGGTGATTATAAGGTTTATTGATGAGGCAGCACATCTTTTAAAAAAAGCTAATACCTTAACTGGCTAATAAAAGCACCACTATTATTAGCAATATTACCTCACAATTATATCACTTCAAGTAATATTGAGTTACAATTATGTTGCTTACTATTAGTATTGATACAGTGGTTACATTAATATATTGGTTAAATTATTATAAAGAAAACTGAAAAATCACTAGTAAGTGCTATTCAATTGCAATTCTGCTGCCTTGCCTCCTGCACTGAATATTAAGATACAAGACTATCCTTCCTTACGAGTTTATCCCTTCTTACTCCCCCCTCCTGCACTATCTTTCAGACATAGACCTGGTGAAGGGTCTGGTGAGTTGTCCACAGGGGTTGCCCCCAGCATCCCGTGGAGCTTGGGCCCAGAGGCTGGCCTCACCACTGCCTGGAGGCAGCCATACTCCTCCTGTCACAAGATCCTCCCATTTCTTGCTCTGCTTCTTCATTTTATACCTTATTCCCCATTTTTTCCTTTTCTTGAACCCACCTTTTCACCACTCCTGCATCTCCTTTTATCTGCCCAAACTCCCCCCAAGTAAACAACTCACCCCTAATTCCTTTTCCTCATTGATCCCAAAATTTATTACACCCATACCCAAATTTGTGTTTCTTATGCCATTTCCTAGGCAATTACAGCTTAACATGTAATTACTGATACTGTTATCTAGATAGAGGTGGCCTTGATTCTCAAGCCTCCCTTCTGACTTTACAGCTCTACTTCTTCCCCATTCAGTGCTTTTTGGACAGAATCTTCCCACCTGAGCTTTGACACCCCTACCTGCTCCTAATTAAGCACAAGTAGTTTGGATACCAGAGCAATGACATCACCCAGTTAGTGCTCACCCCATACTTCTCCTCTGGTTCCCACCAGTGGCCGTGGTTGGTGCTGTGCCTCATGTTGCAGTGGGAGTCTTGCTCATGGTACTCATTTTATCTCACAGTTTGTTTGATTTAGGAAATTAGGTTAAAATTAAAAAAGCCATCAGGAGGGCCTTAACTTCAGGATCACTGTCCTTTTATTTGTACTTTGTGTGTACAAAGCACCTTCACCTTATTTGCATGAAGTGGTTTAAAAAAAAAAATCAAAGTAGGCTTAAAGCAAACAGCTGAAGAAAATTGCCTGCTAGGTCCTGATATGACTCATAACCATATCTTATCAGCCTTTACATTTACAGGTCCATAATGCAAACAGAAGGCAAAAATTATAAAAACAGGGAGGTGCTTATGTGTTCAGGGGTACTGATTATTCCCTGTAGATGAGGGGATGGTGACCCCTCTGACCACCCTGACCCAGTGAGACTTTCGGCCTGGTTTCCCTTAGCACCTGCATGACCAAATGGGGCCGTATGGACTGGCGGGGGAACTGCAACACAGGGTGGGCTGCCGGCCTCCAGGCCGGCAACCAGCACCTCAGAGTCTGTTCGTGGGCCAGTCGTGGGCGGTCATTGCTGGGCCAATACATTGTGTTTAGTGTCCTAATCCTGATGCAATTAGGAAGTTGCACATGGAGTGGGGGTCAACGAGGGGTTGAGGGAGGCCATTATTTCCCTGAGCTGGGGCCTGTGAGGCTGTGTGGGGAGGGCTGTGCCCAGAGTCTCCTCAGAAGGAGGAGAAGCCACAAGTTGTGAAAAGGGAAATTCTCATCAGACATAGTGAAAATCCCTCTTCATAGCAACGGGGGGTGAAGCACTGGGTCAGGTTGCCCAGGAGGAGATGTGAAAGCATAGTTTGAATACCGTTGGAGATACTCAAACCTCAACTGGACGTGGCCCTTCCCTGAGCATGATCTTACACTTGGGTTCCTTCCCAAGCCATGGTCAAGCCCACATTATTTTTTCTGGTTTTATCATGTCTAACTCTCCTTTTCTTCTTTTAGTTTCCTAACTTATTTGTCTCTTTCTGGCTTTCCTTTGCTGTAAATTTCTCAACTTCCCTCCCTCCTGTTTTCCCTCCTCAGATCCCCTCACAAACCCTGCTCGCCCTCCCTGTTGCGGCACTCACAGTAAGACAAAGCACCAAAACACAGATCAGCCTCTCCTAAACCTCCCCTCCTGTTGTTCCAGGGGCCAGAAGCAACAGGCCAAACCCCTCCTGTATGTATTACAGAAGATGAGGCAAAGATAGCCTAGGTGCCAGTGCTGTATAGAGCTGTTCAGTTAGAGCTGTGAAAGGAGAGGAAACACATCAGGGAAAACTGAGCCTTTTCCAAGGTAATGTTGGGAAACTGATAGTTCTGAGCAGTTTGGGGATGTTAAAGAGGAGAGCTGGGGAATCAGACCACTCCTGGACATCAGCTGCAAAGCTACAGCCTCTCTGTCCCCGCTTTCCCTGGTCACCAGGCTGCTGTCTCCTGGTAGTACACTTCCTCTCTTTTATCCCAAAGGCCTTTTACTCATAGAAGTACCTGCTGAAGGTCTGAAGTTCTGCAGGGATTTAATAGTTCAACCTTGATAAACACCCCTGTACCAGCAGAAAAATGGGCATTATTTCTGGGGTATGGGCTTGCCCCATCACTCTTCCCATTGTGGAGCAGCACAGAAGCAGACTGCCTGGTTTCCAGGTACACCTGGAGTTGGATCAATAAAGCTACGTCTGTTTTCATTTAAAATCTTGCGTACGAGAAGCTGTATGCACATGTGAAATTCAGATTTGTACATGATTTGGAAAGCAGTTTGAAATGCTTTGAAACTGTAGCCCCAAAATGGCAATCTATTTGACTATGCAGTTCTGCTCTGAGATCCCAGAACAGTCACACAGATGCAAGGCTTAAAACACTCCATTAACTTTTGAAGACAGACA